CTCCTGACATGAACCCCATCGAAAACCTCTGGACCCTACTCAACCGGCAAGTCAAAAAACAACCAAAAAAAACCAACTTCGAAGAGCGATCTACTCCAAGTTTTGAAGCAAGAGTAGGCAAAAATCCCACAATCTAAAATTGATGAGATGATTCTCACGATGCCCCAAAGGATCAACGAAGCAAAAGATCTACTAGATATTAATTAAATTATAAATACATCAATTCATGTGAATATGACTGAAAAATTTAATTTTTTCTGGAAAGGTGGTGTCTATTTACTTGTGACCACGCTGTGTATTTTTTAATTTATAGGGTTCTTGTAAAGATTACTGATGAGTTTAAACATCAATGAAATGGAAATTCTTAGAGCAAGAATTCCTGATACAGTACGTTACCTCTTCTCACATAAATAGCTATTTTCGTTCAGTGCTGCCCTCTGTATGCAAAATAATTTTTTGCATGTCACAAGCCTCTAGTTCCCACGTATCCTAAGATTAACATGATTAAACTGTGTCTTGCATGTAAATCATCATGCCACAACAGTCCAACAATGAGAGTGCGACACACCCTCCTGATGCATGTAACTCCCTCTGTTCAATTCTACTGAACTATCACTTCACATTTGGCAGTGCTATCATCAAGGTATTTTTTGTTTGCGATCTTTTACCATGTTATTTAACTTTCATACTAAGTGGAGATATTTTCTGCTTTTTTTTTCTATTTCACTTTGCTTGTTTTAAGTGTTAACTTTATTTTTTTTAGTTTTCACCAAAGCTCATGTTTCCACTTTGAAAATATTATCATTACTTCCAGTACAATTACTTAGGCTTCAGGATGAGAATTGTCAACTTTAATACATTGGAAGATTTATCATTATATGAGTTGACCTTTGTTGGGCCTTGAGTTTAGTGGCTCACACACAATTAAGTCCACTGACTGGACAGATAAACTGTTATAGCTTTTCGAATATTTTGATTTTAATATCATTATTTGTAGTTATTTAGTTACATTTAGTTGGCTTTGTACCTACTTTGTGTAAGGTTAGGGTTTTTAAATTAATGTTTAGTGATGTCCTTTTTTTACTACAACATTCCGTTAGGCTTAACATATGTCTTTGTAATTTTAGGCTTACTGTCATTCATCTTACTGGTAAATTGTAAATTGGGTTTAAATATATTGTTTCTTCAACAGATACCATCTACTAAATTTTTAATTGTCAATATACACTTAATTTTACAATATGATGACTTTTTTGAGAGAAGGTGCTAGCATGCCTTGCCTTCCATGGACTTTGGTTCAAGTTGCCTTAGGGTACAATCAGGCAGATTGTTTTATGTTTTCTTGCTTTTCTGCACCTCGAATTTCTGTTGCCTGTATGGGGAGCATAATCTGTTAATCCTATCCCTTTCTCCACAGCCAATTTTTCCAGCCTTCTTCTTTCCCTATCACCCCTCCTATTGGTTTTGGCTGCCATACACCTCCTTTCTGAGGCATTGCATCTGTTTTTTGGGGATTTTCGTGTGAAACCTTCTTCTTCCTTACCTCCATGTTTGGAAGATTGCCATTATCGGCTTTTCCCCTACAAACGTGGGATCTTCTGAGGTGGGACACTGTCTTGTGCACAGTTCACTTACCTTCCACTTCTAATTGGGACTTACGTACAACTTTTTCCCACTTGGGTCCATTTCTTTTGGGTAGTTTTACTCCTGTGACTTTAGCATCACGTGGGGTATCTGTATTACTACATTCAATTTTTTTTTCTTTTTTAGTTGCTCACTTGTTTCTTTGACCTTTACATTCTTTATTCATGTCTAGCACCTTCATGTTATTTACCCGGAGTTCTTTGATTGATCTGTCTCACCATGATAACTTCTTGGTTCTATCCCTTTTTCTATGTTTTTTTTTTCACAATGTAGTGGGCCCTTTCTCCAGGACTTGAGGATGCCCACGGTTGATGTTTTGTATTCTTATGACCATGTTCCTATTTTTCATGCTTTGTGGCCCTGACTTCAGTTTGTTCACCATGGGATTGGGTACTAGTTTTGTGCCTTGCCCTCGAGCTTGTTTCAGATCAGTATGTCTTTGTCTTCGGTTCCTCATCCACTTACCTTGGCTGTCGATGCATTCAGATAGGATTGAGACCTATTTAGACCTTTATTTTCTTATCCCATTCTTCATTTTCCCCGAGTGATTTTGTTCATCCTTGCCACTCTATGTCAGATATTTATGATTTTCTCAGCTGTTCAGCTTGATCTGTCTTTTTTTGTTCTGGATCAATTTTTACTACCCTCCACTTTGGTGGCTAGTGTGGCATATTCTTCCTTTTCGTTTAATTTCCCAGTTGGCCTATGTTCCTATGTCCTGTACCTTCTCTGGGTTGCTTCATTGCCTTCAAGGCTTCTTTCCATGGGTTCCTTTTCCTGCTGTTTAATTCCCTGGCACCACTCCTCTGATCGTGACTTTTTTCTTCCTCTCTTATCCTTTGGAATCAGCTTTTGTTTTTATTGGCCTTTTCTTCCTTGTCTCCTTTTTCCCTATAATCAATTCCCGGTGTCTTCACTCTGATTGGGCACCTTCCCTTTTACCTGCATCTCACTTTCCTCATATGTTGGTGGTACTACTTCCGTTGAGCACTGGGACTACACCTCATACATTTATCTCCCATTATCTGCTTTGGGTAGCTGTTTCTTCCTTGTCGGGGTACCATCTTCCACCTGTTGCGATCTTTTGGTGAAACTGTGACTGGGTAAAATACCTTTTTGTATAGATACCTCTTATTTTCAAGGCCATATCTCTTTTTCTTTTCTTGATGGATCCCACTCTGTGGGGAGTGGTGGCTATCCAGGTATACTTAAACTAGTCAAATCTGCACTGTAAGGCCATGATGACTTAATTATATTTTCCAGGTATACTTAAACTAGTCAAATCTGCACTGTAAGGCCATGATGACTTAATTATATTTTCCAGGTCTACTAAATGCACACTGTCAAGATGGGGTGTTCTACAAAATCCCCTCATAGCTTTTCCTTGTGATATATCTGATTCATTAATATGCCCATTCCGGACTGTACTAATCCGTGGACTTCTTGGGAAAAGCAGAAGGGGATAGCTGCCCATCCATGCCATTCCTTAGACTGAATAAATCTGCTTTTTAAAATAGGGCTTTCATGGTTACCTGTTATACTGCTTCTGGTTTGATGCTCCTCTGGACTCTACACTCCATTTTCTCCTCATTTTTTTCCAGTGGAGTATGGGAATTTTTACCACTTTCCAGTTCCAAGCCACTGGGTTGGTGGACCATGGAGGCATCCTCCTGAATGTGATAATGATATACAATATAAATAATGATAAAACCATTC